TGCCTTGGGCTGCTGACGACCTGTTTTCTGGTTCCTTTGCGAATTATGTGACTTTGACTCCAAAACTCGGGTTTCCTTGTTATTTTTTACCCAAAACCTATGTAGCCTATATAAGGGGCTGAACTAAGTCTTTTAGAAAGTAATCAACAATTTTATTCAGAAAATCAAACCCTAGAATTGATTGTTCGAACACCAACTTCTCTTATTCTTCTTTCGTGACCGCGGAATTGATTCAGCAAGAGAAAACCGACGTTTTCTGCTAGCTCATCACGCCAGCTGAATAGTCATTCATATACTTGGCCCTCTTCCCGACTCGTGGATTTGGTTTGGGTTATTATCCGCTTTGTTATCGTTGTGCTTCTAATCGATCTTTGTTGCCTTTCTGATTGTTTAAGTTCAGGAGTTAGAGCCTTGACTTATATCGGGAGTGACTATGTCACATGCCCAATTGTGATGCTTCAATACTAATTGGTGTCCATATAGGAGAATCTGATATTAAAAATGAGTCTCAACGTATGAAGCGTGGTAGACCAATCAGTTACAAGGATAAAAATCCTTGAGAAAGAAAAGGAGCTATAAATTAAGATGGTCAACTTGAGGATACAATAGCTATAGAAGAGTCACGACATATATAATAATTGAGATCATAGTTCCAGAAGAATAGTAGGTGCCTGAAAGTTTTGACAAAGAAGATATCTCAGTTAATTGGCCTATATGGATAAAGTTGGAATCGACGTGGATTCATTGGAGACGAGAGTTTTGATTATGTTGTAGAGTTGAATGTGATAATACAAAGAGGATCAAAAGTAAAAGTCTATTAATGCATGCAAAATAATAATTTATTGGCCAATATAAATGAAAGCATTAGACTTATTGGGTAAAATGTTAGGACCAGAAGTCCTTATACTTGAAGATGTAAAACTAACTAGATAAAAAAAAATTTGTGCAAACAAGTAGGAAAAAGTGTGAAATTTTCAAAGACATAACACAATTTCTTGTAAGGCATTTCTAGTAAAAACCTTACATTAATTAAAAGGAGACAAAGTCCTTTGTGGTGGATGCACTATGTTGAGAAATTTAAATAATTTGGCAGTTCAAAAAGGATCAAATTTGCATATAATAGATATTGTGATATCATATTTGTATGGATCATTAATAATAATATTTATACGGAACTCCCTAAAGGAATAGTTTGTTGTAAGCTAAAATATGATGTTCTCAAGAACATTTATAGTTCAATAGAAGCAATCCTTGGTACGGTTTGAGACCAAATGGATGAAATGAAGTGGTTGAATGAGTCTTTGGTGATTAATCCAAATAAAGTGCATTATAAGCTTTACAACACTTGCATATGGATTTGGCATGGGCGATTGTGCAATGTCATATAGGTTTATGTGTATGATATTGTGATTTTAGTTCTATGTATGAGTTTTGATTAATGGTTGTAGTTTGATTATTATTATTATTATTATTATTATTTTATTTATTTTTTTTTTTTTTTTGAAAAGTTGTTCATAAGTGGGTAAATGGGCAAGCCAAATGGAGAGATCCATACACATATACGACAAAGTGCAAGAAAGAAACAAAACCAAAAAGGCACAAGGACCAAAAACAACCGACCCAAAGCAGGCCCCAACATGAAGTCTCCCCAAACCCTAGCCATATACACACTCATGGTTAGAGCCACCGCCGCCAGGTGCTTCCCTCGCCATTGTTTTCCACGAGCTGCTTAATGATGTTGTGCATATGACATTGTGTTTGCTTGTGACTTTGTTGTATGAAGTAATTGCTTGCATATAATTGTGTTAGTTGAGTTTTATATTTATTTAGAAGAAAAGAGTCAAGACATCATTTCATACCGATCTCATATTATTTTGATATACATATTATTGGAACTTCATAATAGCTTCATAAGTAATGCATTGCTTACAGAAAAAAAAAATTGAACAAGAAGAATTTAAGAAGGTTTTTTTTTTTTTGGATCGGGAAGGTAATGTCAAAAAGTGAGAGAGCAATTTTGAAAGGAAAACATCATATGTCAGCAGCCTAATAATCGTATGATCACTAGAAGTGAACAAAGATCAATTTAGGCCTTGAGATAGAAGTGAACTATTGGATCCTAAAGTATTGTATATTGATTCCTTTAGAACACAAATGTATCTTGCATGGCATACACCATCCAACATATCATTCGGTGTTAATATATTAACAAGATATAATTTCTCTCTCTGTATAGAGTTGAGCTTATACTTCATTACCTTTAGGTAATAATGAGGATAAGAGATGAGTTATTTGCTTACTTATGGTCGTACAACTATCTCATGGAGATTCCAAACATATCACAATAGTAGGGGTGGTCGTTCGGTTACCGGTTATCGGTTAACCGGTCGGTTAAACTGATAACCGACCAGTTATCCACTAACCGCTAACCGAACTTCGGTCGGTTATCGGAGGCTGGACGAAATGGTTTTTGGTCTTAAAAGTGGTTTGGTTAACCGATAACCGAATAACCGAGACATCGAAGCCTATTTCGGGTGGTTTTCGATAGGGGGAGTGATTATTTCGGTTAACCGATAACCGGCCAATCGGTTACCGGTTATAACCGAAATAACCGAACTGCCACCCCTACACAATAGCTACTGATCCTATCTATCATGACAATGGTTATAAATTCATGAGGCATATTATGAATTGTTTGGTTAAGATTTGTGATTCAACACATTTAAATGACTTGTGATTGTGGACTATATTCAGAGGAAATGATCATGAAGATCATGTATGAAAAATTGCCCTAATGGATCATGCATAAAGTGACAATCTAGAAGATTTGTTCACTAATACACTTACCATGACAATATTTGAAAATTTTGTTTACAAAACTACACTTTGACGAGTAAAAAATCTGAATTGATGTTCCCTTGAGGGGGAGTATATACGCACTGCATTCTTGTTTCTTAACCATAATTTTTCATAGGTTTTCCTGGTAAGATTTTTTAATGAGGCAGTCTCAAATAGCGCATAATGATATGATTATGCACTATTTTTCCTTCACTAGGATTTTGTCCCATGATATTTTTTTCTAGTAAGGTTTTAATGAGACATCCAAGAGGGAGTATTATGGATTCTATATTGGATGCCACATTTGATTCTATATTGGATGGTAAATTCATAGCTCATTACCTCACATTCATGTACATTAATAGAGAAATATCTAAGGATTATATATGTGCCTATAAATAGAGCACCCAATTTTACAAAAGAGTATGATGAATAAGAATCACACTTCTCTCATCTTCTCTTGTGTCTTTTCCTCTCCACTCTCTCTTATTGTTGTTCGTATATTTTAGTTTATAACAATAAACCCTTTGGTTTCCTCCTCCCCCAGTTCCACATCCACGTCCACGTCCAGCTCCCGACCCCTCTTCTTGATCCATAGGCTCACGCCTTCTATCTGCATTCATAGGTAGGGCGCGGTACGAGTCATAAAGTCGTGTGTTTTTGTTCCAAATTTATCCTTTTTAGCTATTTAATAATATCATATATAGACTCAGCATTCTCGATCTCAAAACTTAAGGCACAAAATGAATACTTCTTTCCCTTGCCTTTTTCTGCTAGTGAGCATACCAAACTAGCTTGTCACGAGCGGGGCTCGGAGCTAGGCAAAAGTAGCTTCATAGATTTTGCAACCTACTAGTAATGATCTTCTTCAATGAATCGGGAAAACTGACACAACAACTGGTGGAATATGTCCGACTTCAAGATGCAGGTATTGATTCCTATTGCAGTTCCTGATTAATCGGTAACCTGATCCCACTTTAAAAGAAGTTCCTCGGGCAAGGCAAAAATGTTTCATGAAGCGGATGTGGAAAATGCGGCAAATGTGGCATTGATTCTCTTATTGGTGTTCTTATCAAATGGCTAATTTTCTAAATTTACCATGCAAATAAATTCCCAATATATGTTCTCCTAATTAAAAAAAAAGATATTAATTTTGAGGGTTAACTCAAGTTTGATGGGTATGCGAACGAGGTATGTAGCATCGTCTATGTGGGTGGAACAGTGTCCAAGGTTCAATCACCGGGTAGGGCATATATTGACTCCTTCATTAGCAGCCCTCACCGAGAGATGTAAGGGTGGTCATCGCCTTCGTGCTTAACCCCCCTCCCCAAGGTTGGCAGGCCAAAATTTATCCTACTTGCGACAGTCACAAAAATGACGACTATGAATAAAAGTTCTTCTGTCATTAAAAAAAAGTTCCATGGATTCCAACACTTGCATTTGTTAGCTAACGTTAGCCATCCTACATATGAAAGAAACCGAAAACTGAATCGAAGTTTGATTCATTCTAGTTTTCCAGGTCATTTTCATGGCTGCGACATATATAGTATATACCACTTTGTGGTTGAAACTAAATGGCAACCGTCTGTTGGTTTCTGGAAGTTTGTCCCTCTGCTAAACCCGCCATGGCATAAAAATGATGTGCTCAATGGCTGACCCATAACTATGTCAAAAGTAATACAAATGTGTGCCATTATCAAAACCCTCATCTCTGCAAAAGGAAAACCATAATTTTCACCCGGTATGAACCATCCTGTAACAGCCTTATTTACCAGACGTACTAACCTAACCTTCTCCATGGTTTCACCACCTTGACAGGGTTAAAAAAAAAAGAGCTTAAAATTGGTGTCTTTTTCAAAGGCCATGTTCCCCCACATTGTGAGATAATTAAAGAGAGAAAAAGGCAAGTTAAGGAAAGGGAGAGGACCACTTGGAAAAAAAAAGTCAGAGAACAGACATTAGCCCAACTTGCAAGGAAACAACACTTGCTGGTGTTTTCTTTGATTGCCCCATTTCAAGAGCAACCCATGTGCTCTCTAAAAGGGTGACTTCCAAGCCATCTTACCTAATCTAATCTCCGGATTCCATCCACAACCTCAATTATTCTAAGAAAAAAGGCTTGATTTTTACAGCCTAAGCTTTGATTATTAAACTACCATCAACTCACCCTGCTTCCTTGATCTCAAAGCAGATAACTTTGGCAAAAGGGGATAGAAGAGAAGGGGAATGTCAGTCAGTGCCAGCCTCTAAAGTGTTTTTTTTTTTTTTTTTTTGGGGTTTTGCGGGGGGGAATGCCTGTAATTATTGAAGGAATCTGAGTAGGGATCAGTAACCCCCCATCTCTTCACAGTTCTCTTCTCTCCCATATAACTTGCAGGCAGCCTTCATTCATTAATTCATTCATTCGTTCCAGCCATTAGGAAAAGAAACAAGGGGGCAATAAGTGAGGGAGACTTCATAATCATTGTAGTATTATGGGGATCAATGGAGGGATTGTTCGGAGTGTCTTCTCCAAGACACGTTCTTCTGCTTCTTTCGGAACTTATCACCATCATGGCAATGTAAGTGGGGGAAAACAAGGTCAATCATCAAATGATTGCTTAATGAATTCCATTGTCCGAAAGCGAGATAATGATTCTTGTTGACTAATGGGTTTCTGGGGTTTCAGGGAAGAAGCAATGCTGGTGAGAAGAAGAGGTGGAGTGTGGTGAGATCATACCTTTGTGGGGATGAGTTCAACTCGGTCCAAGGTGAGAAGGATTCTGCTTCTGTGAAGAGCTCGGAGCCTAGAGTCTCACAATTTGCTCCGGCTGATGATTCTGTGGAGACCAATGCAATGCTGATCGAGGAGGGAGATGCAGTGGAGGAAAAGGAGCACAATACTACGCAGTCTAGCTTGTTCCTTCAGCAGGATGCAGCGATCATCATCCAGACTGCATTCAGAAAGCTGATGGTTAGTTTTACTTCTTCAGACTTCTAAAAGGAGACTGAAACAATCAAAGAAGTTCTGCTTATTCCCTTTTGTGTGGGTGCTCGCAAAAAAAAATCAGGCTAGACGTCGGGATGAGGAAGAAGCAAAAGCCAAGGATGGTGATAAGCAGGAGCAGCACCAAGAATTGGCAAGTGGAAGTCCTGGCAGGTACTCCGTGAGCACATCCGTTGAGGTTCAGACTGGTAACTCTGCAGATCATCTCTCCATAGCAGAAAACAATGGTGAACAACGCAACGCACAGAAGAAAGCCAGCAGATGCCAAGATTTCAGGTCCAAGGTGATAAACAATTCACAATACTCAAAACAAACAAAAAGTTCATTTGTGTTCAAATCAAACTTACGCAACTAATTGTACGATTACAATGGTCGACCGAGCTACAGGAAGACTGGGATGACAGCACGCTTAGCAGTAACATGTTAAGAATGAGGAATAAGAACAGACTGGACGCCACTAACCGCCGTGAACGAGCACTTGCTTATGCTTTCTCACAACAGGTATCAAGATAATATTCGCTTCATTAATAAGAAAAAAGAAAGATCATTCACAGCCAAAATTAGTATCTTTGATGCATCATTTGAATATACCATGTTTTTTTCATTAAAGCTGCGGATCTGCTCAAGGGGCAAGCAAGCCAGGTCCGAATGTACGCAGCAGCAGCAGCAGCCTAGCATGAGTTGGCATTGGCTTGAAAGGTGGATGGCTACCCGAGCTCCTGAATTCTCGTTCGAGAGCCATTCAAACAAGCAATTTGAACAGCCATCAAAGAACAACAGCCACAGAGAAGGAAAAAGCAAATGTTTGGATTTAGCAGTAGAAGAGAGGGAGAGCTGTGGGTCTAATGAAGTACCTGTCCCTGCAAAGAGCTTAAAAGCCGACGCGAGATTAGAAAATGGCTCTTTCATCATCACAACCAAAAACGGAGCCAAGCCTCTAAGAAGTATCTCCAGGAGGAAAACAGTACCAAGCTACCAATATCCTCCAAAAGAGCAAAAGGTGAAGTTCTCTGGCTTTCAAAAAGAGAACAGCTCAGTTGTATCTTTTTTTTTTACTGCAGTCTGAAACTTACCTTTTCTTCGTCAATATGTTTCTTGCTCTCAAACAGACAGTCGAGAAGAGTTGTGCCAATTTAGAGCACGACAAAAGGCAGAAGCTGAAAAGATCAAAGAGCAACAGAGAAACCAAGTGCAAAGATGCTTCAGCATCTTACAACTATGGCAATATGCACTTCCTTGTGAACTGAACTGAAAGCAATGTATCAAATGAACTTAGATATCTTAGCCATTGTTTCAGTATCAAATCATTGAATAAGCAATAATGAAGCTACTAGCTTCCACCAATTTAACTGCAAGCATATGCTGGAACCCAAACTTTCAATGCATCTTGCAGAGTTGCCTTCCAAACACTAGAGATTTTACTTTCTAGCCATGGAAAAATTCAAAGGCACCACCACTCTGTAATGCCTGATCTTCGGTCATCACAAAGATATGAACCCAGTAACCGCAAAATAGATTCAAAATAGGAACGACAGAAGTACGACTCTCGGTCGAGGAAAGTACCCCAAAGAGCAAATAGCAGAGCTACAAACTCGGCAATACCATAATCTCTCTAGATCCAGTAAGAAGACAAGATTACAGAGCTATAGCTTGAATATAACAAGAGTATATTACACAATCCAGAAGCTCTTTAGATCTTATCAATATCTTCGTCTTCAAACTCAATGTAGTCATCACCAGCACCTTCATCCTCCTCATCGAGACCTCCAGCAATACCCTCATTGAGACGAGTGTTCTCTGGAAGCTCACCATACGCCTTGAGAAGCCTGGCCTCATCAGGCATGTACTTCAGGATAACATCAGCCTTGTCATCCTGATAGTCTCGGAGACCCACTAGAATGATGTCACCAGCTGCAATCCAGACCTTCTTGTGCATCTTGCCACGGATATGGCAGAGACGCTTCACTCCATCGATGCACGTGGCCTCACAACGCCCGTTACCGAGCATGCGCATCACCTGGGCATACTCCTGCCCATCTTCCTTGAAGATCAGCTCACGCTTCTCATCATCAGCTTCGTTCTTTCCTCTCTTCCTGTTCTTTCCTCCCTTACCCTTGTTCTTCGGCATGGTTTCTGGTTCTGCAACGCAAGTCCTCGAAATCAAATTACTGACCCTAATAATTCAATCACCACAAGAACAGAGAAATGAAACCGCCAACACGGCTGAACTCCAAGAAAATGGATCATCGCTAGAAATGAAATTCACTTCTAACCAATCAAGTAAGTTCATCAATTTGGGGAAAAACGCGTCAACCCTAATTCTCGAACACCTCAACTCGAAGTTGAAGAAATCATACACCAACATACCCAATCATCAACCCATAAGAAAACAAAGCACGCCAATGAAAAAAACCGGAACGGTCAGAACAACTCGAATTCGATATTAACTAGCAAATTGACGAACGACAAAGAGGATGAGAGAAAAAACCTCGGAGGACGAGAAAAGATCGGAACGTTTACCTCGATTGCAAGATGATTGACAAAATGAATATTGCTGCTACCGAGTAAAGAAAAACGAAAGAAGGGATTGAAATGACAAACCTTTGCTGTTGGCTTCTTGGAGATGGAGAAGGGAAGAGCAACTACACAACCAGTGGGGGGGAAAATGCTCTCACCGTCTCAGTCTCACGGAAAGGAAGAGAGCGAGCGAACCCGATTCGCGAAAGAGGGAGAGAAAGCATCTGCCCTACGCATACATTCCTTATTATACGAACCGATTGGGGATAATGAAGTTTGGGTCGGTTGGCCCATTTAACCGTGGCCCATTGTCTTGGGCCGTCGTGAGGTAACTGGATATGCATTGAAGAATTGGGCAGGTTGTGCGCGTAGTCTGATTAGTAGGGATGTGCGCCGTTTGACCTGTATCAATCGGTTTGGGGTGGGTATTACCTAACTCGTAACTAGATTTGAAACCCGGCCCGTTGGCCGGATGCATTATTTCAAACATATTAGCAATCATTGTTATTGTGTAAGCAAGATATATATTTATTAGTATCAAAAGTCAAAAGATCCGAACTATTCAATTACTGAATTTTTTAAAAGGAACATACATCATAGTATTTTCTATTATGCTAACCGGTTCATCAAAAAAAGTACCCTGCCCATTGGCTGGATGCATTATTTCAAACATATAAACAACGTTTGTAATTGTACAAAGTAATGTATATTTTTATTGATATCTAAAGTAAAAAGATTTGAACTATTCAATTAATGAAAAAAGGAACATACATCATAGAATTTTCTGATATGTTAACTGGTTCATCAATGAAAGTTTTTGCTGAAAATAAAAAATATAACTCATGAAAGGGAACTAACTCTTAAAAAACTTCAGTAAACTACACTTCAAATTACTTCTTGCTGTAAAAATTACTTTAATTTTCTTATGAACTTCTTTGCTATTGCTTCACCATATGTATCATTATCTCTGTCAATAATTGTAGTTTCATATTCATCACTGCGAGTCTGCGACCTCTCTATCCATCATCAATAGTCTACCCCTTATTCTCAACAATGTCACAATGTTACTATCACTATATTCGAATTCACTACCTCTACCATCAAAAAACTATTTCTTCTTCACCTTCATTTTACTGAAATTTTACTTAAGTCTAAAACTAAAATGTTTGCAAATATTAAACTTTTATCAATTAAAGATTCTTAATCAATGTGGCTACTAACCAATATTTTAATGTCCCACACATTTAGTTTTCAAAGTAAAGGTTATAAATATTTTATTTGGTTAATGAATAAAAATCCTACTACTATTGCACGTATAATTAATGCATAGACATATTTATTTGGTTTAGAAGTCTAAATATGTTTTATTTTAATAATTTAAATGCCAAAAAAACACCCTTCCTACAAACTCTCATAAGGCTCGAAATTTTGAATAAAGTAGGTTATGATGGAGAATCTCCATATAATAGTGGTAGAATGAATAACCAGTAGGCATTGACTATTCTCCAATAAATACATTTCTTTTCTTTTTTCTTATATATTTGCGAATTTGGTTGCCCTATTTGTAAAAATGGTTTAGAAAAGTTTAGTGGTCGACAATGAGAATAAATTAAACAGTGTCATCTTCTACCTATGGTGGTTTTTTTAATTTGCAAATCATGAATTAAGTAAGAAGTAGCAAGATCATTCTAAGATGATTGTAAGAAGATTAGGTGATTACTCGAAGTCCAGTCATCAAGGTGAAACCCACTTTCATAACAATCTAACGAAAAATTGACAGTAGCCGGTAGGGATACGATCAGGAATTTTCATAAAGATAGATTACCATTATATAAGAATTGAATGCTCCGGAATACTATTATATATGAATATATGATGCTATAGAATGCTAGACAAACAGATTTTTATTCCAAAAGATGCCAAAATGGTAATAAGTTTATATGATATAACTAATTTAATGTTTTAGTTAAAATTTTGTAATTTAAATTATAAAAAATGAAACGTGATTAATTAAAAACTAATAAGGGAGTGGTTATGCACCTTGAATTACAACCTTATATGTCAATAAACTAACAATAATCTAAATTATCTAATTGGATACAATAAAACACACATGCTAATAATAATTTTAATAAATACATAGAGAAATTTTACAATACTTCATATTATTGGTGTTTTCATTTTAAGAACAAAATTCTTTACAATACAAATTGAACTTGTACATAAGTTATCGTTAATTTCAGTTTATGTATATGCATTTTTGTACAATTTTTGTATAATACAATATGATCTTGTACCTTTAATATTATGGTACAAATTTAGTCAGCATCTATATATTTTCATACAATTTCATTTATGATACAAAATGAAAGTGTACCTTTAACATTATGGACTTATGGTTCAATTTATATCAACATTTTTTTCATACAAATTACTTTACAATACAAACTGAACTTATACATTTAATGTAATGGTACAAATTAAAATTGTATCTCCAAATATCCATACTTTGAAGTAATGTAGATAAGCTTATATATATAACATAACTATTATTAAAAAGTGGTGATTTTCTTTAGTTGGATTCCGATTTATTTTAATTAATAAGTGGGGGATTGAAAGAGGATTGTAAGTTGTAACTTTTAGTTCTAAAATTACAAATAGAAATCCAATTGTGCCGCTAAATCCAAAAGAGCCAGCCCAATAATGTGTAGTTAATCTCCCCCAACAACATATAAATACAAAGTAGAATTCTTTTTAAAGGGAAAATACTTTGATACCCTTCCGCCAACTGCGGTCAGGGCTCCAAATTTGCTTTTAACGCACTCTGAATACAGAACCTCCTTATATGAGTGTGTAGATAGTGTGGGACGGAGTATGAGTATTACTTTAGATTTGTCTCATTCAGTTCTCGATTCGTTTTATAATGATTTGCATAAATATATACATATATTTCTTTTCTTTTGATTTTTTGGAAATTGAATTACTATTTCTAGCCCTCATAAAAGCGTATTTTTTCCAGAAATAGCACTATTTAATTTTTTTTTACAAAAATAGCACCCAACCCGAAAAATTTCAAAAATAGCACCCTTTCTCTAAAACCGCCACCCCACCCCGCGGTTTACACGAAAACAGCTAGGCGGGGTGCGATTTTCGATGAAAACTGCATGGTTATGGGGCGGTTTTCAAAGCCGCTCGAGGTTGGGGCGGTTTGGTCTAATTTTTTTTCGAAAAATCCTAACCTAGGTGGAAACTTCAAACGAACGTATCTTTGTGTTCAGGTATCCGATCGTCGCGATTGTTTTTTTGATTTCGCATAACTTTTTGAGATTTTGCAAGCCGTCCCACTTTCATCCCGAAAAAAATATCGTTTGCTACCCCGAAGGAGATTTTTCCCAAACGTCATGACTTTGGACGGCCATAACTTTGTGCTCCAAAATCCGAACGTCATGATTTTTTTTTCATTTCACATAACATTTTAAGGACTACAACTTTTATCAGACATAATTTCAGAATGTATGTTGATTTGTGAAAAGAGAAGGTAAAGTTATTCCCAAACCCTGTATATCCAAAAATAATTCTTGTTTTGAAAATTTCTTCCCAGTAAAAATTGTAGTCCTTCAAAAGTTATGCGAAATGAAAAAAAAATTCATGAGATTCGGACTTTGGAGCACAAAGTTATGGCCATTCAAAGTTATTGAAAAATGTTAGCGTTCAAGGACTAAAACTTTGTCAACATGTAATTGTTTCAACAAAAGAGTTGTAGTTTGATGGTGTAGATGTTGTATTAAATTTAGTTAATGATTTATTAGCAGGATTCGAACCACCACCCCCACAACATGTTGCTTTTTTTAATCTCTAAAAAATAAAAGGATTTAATATGGGATGATGGTGTTTCAAACAAAGGACCTCTTGCACACAAAGAAACAACTAAACCAATTATACCAAGACCACTTTTGGCAATTATTTGGAAAAAAAATTTTTATTACAAACCGCAGGGTGGGGGTGCGGTTTGCACCCAAACCGCTCCGACCCCCATGCGGTCAGCAAAATCGTCCTACCCGTGCGGTTTTCGTCAAAAAACGCGCCCCCACCCTGCGATTTTCGAAAAAGGGTGCTATTTTTGTAATTTTTGGGGACTGGATGCTATTTTTGGATTTTTTTTTTAACAGTGGTATTCCTATAAAAAGATTAAAATTTACATGAATTGTAAAAATGTTTCGTTTTCTCGAACTCTCTCTTCCAAACACATCAAGACGTCACCACCACCACCAGCCAGCGTTGCCGGCCACTGTCGTCGTCCACCAACACCCCATGGCTCATGCTCCCATTTTAGTTGGTAAGTCGAATTCAAGTGGAAATATATTTATTATAAATTTCATAGAATGGAGGAAATATCAATTTTGATTCCAAAGAAAGTTATAACGTTTGATTACGGGGAAACTATCAATATAGAAAGAATTCAAAGTTGCATACCATGATTGTGCTTCAATTTGAATTCATCTAATAAAAGATAATTTTTTCGTTAAATATACAAAAAATCAGCCCTAAACTAGTCGTTATTTAGGTTGGCAAATAAATATGATAGATTTTTTCCAGAATAGTCGGCAACGTGTCTTTCATACATCCAGATGTAGGCGACGATTGAAGTTCTGCATGTTAGATTGTAGCCGGCAACACATGTTTTAGACGTCTGGTCGTGGCCGACGACAGAAGTTTGGTACTTTTGAACGTAGGGGTGGGCTGTTAGTGGTATTGGACTCTTGGCCCTTTATTGTATTAGTATGTACGTAAGTATGGGAGGTCGTTGTTAACTAGCCCTAGCAGGAGCTTGAGAGAGCTAAGGTTGCGACAGTATATATGTAAAGCCAGCCATGTAAACCAAACTAAGAAAACATAATAAGACGATCAACTCAGAGTGTTCTAGCTCTCTCGTGGACTAGTCTCGATATCAGGGAAACCATGTAAACTGTGTGCTCGTTTTCTTCCTTGTTTTCATATACGTTATTAAGAGTGTTTTGATACTAGCTAACATGGTAGCAGAGCTATCGCCTATGAATTTTTACAGGGTTTCAGTTCGATTAAACTCCAAGAGTTATGCACTATGGGAGTTCCAGTTTCGTACCTTCATTGAAGGCAAAGGCCTTCTTTCGTTTCTGGATGGCACGTCCAAAAAGCTAGTCGTTTCGACGTCGTCTGTAGAAGACCTGTCCAAGTGGACTCAGACCGATGCTATGATGAAACCATATCTCCTAAGCACCATCGATCCAATTATTTGTTTGGTTCTCCGACTGCTGCACACGAGAGATACATATGACTCCATCTCGCTCAAACCTACACCACTCGCGTTTCTTCGCAGACAAGGGTGGCCAGAATGCCATCCATCTTCAGATTCTCTCTTTTCATAAGGTTAGCCCAAACTGACTCGAACTCGGACTTGAGGCGAATGAGGAACTATATCGTACGAGTACGCTGGCGATCCTGAAGAACTTCCGTAGACGTTGTATCCGAGCACAAAGCAGCCGTCAATAAATCCTTAAGGACCTTCTAGTTTTAAGGTTAAGGGTGGAGAGTATTGAAGTAGCCCAACTGCTTAGGCCTTTACATTTGAATTTTTAGGAATGATTCAGTTTTTTTTCCTTGTTTGGTTCTAAGGAATTTTGCTCTGCTCCGGAGTGAAAATTTTATATTTATGGTTAAAAGGATCACGATGTTACATTTTGGTATCAAAGCCGGCATTCCTCTATTCCTTGATCTCTAAGGAATACCGGAGTGATAGTCTAAGTTTATAAGGTTTCTGTTTTTAATGAAAGGAAAAGTGAGTTTCTGTCATCAGAGAAGTGGAGAGAGTCTTCAATGACTTTTTTTTGGAGTGTAGGGGTGGGTCAGAGGCATAGGGATGTTTTGGCATGGTCTCACCTTACTTATCCTAAGTAAGAAAAAGGTTTTTGGTTTTGAGACATCATTACTTGGAATTATGCTTGTGCTACTAGGCACATCTGGTCCATCCTTACGCAGCAGGGTTCCATATGGGTGGTATAGATTTCTCGTTATAAGCTGAAGAGTTCTAGTCTTTGGCAATACTCTAGGTCTTCTGGGCCATGGAATTGGAGAAGACTTATAAAACTCAGGCTTATGGTCCAGCAACATTTCTCTACACAAGGGGAGGATCTTCCGTGGGATAGTACTTGTATGGCTCGGTTCTCACTCAAGGTTTCCTGGAACTCTCTTATAACTAAGCTTCCTAAAGTGAGTTGGGCTAACTTGGTTTGGAAAGGGATTGGTATTCCCAAAAATAGATTCATTGTAAGGTTGATTGCAAAACGAAAGAGTCAAACTAGGGATCAAATGCATACGAGGGGATATACTAGACCTATGAACTGTGTGTTTTGTGATCATGGTCTGGAGTCTATAGACCATTTGTTTGCATACTGTTCTTTTTACAGAGAACTTGTTGTTGGGTTGCTTGGGAAAACTTTCCCCCTTGTACTAGAGAGTTCTTGGGAGCTCGAGCTAAGATGGGCAGAGAAGATGTTTCAAGGCATGTCTCCAAAAGTTGATACAGGAAGAGTCATATGGTGTGCGATGTTGAGCCATGTTTGGAGAGAGGTGTAGAAGGATTTATGATGGAGCAATTAGGAAGGAGCACTTCTACTATGTTATAAAGCATTGGTGTTTTAATGTACAAATTGAAGATGTACCATAACGTTAAATGTATAAGTTCAGGTTGTACCATAAAGTAATTTGTACTCTTATGTTATGGTAGAACTTGAATTTGTACCATCACATAAAGGTACAAGTTCAACTTGTACCATAAAAGAATTTCTACATAAGAGTATAGGTACAATCTGAAGTTGTAGCACCAATGCTATATAGCGTTGTAAAATTCCTCAATTAGGAATGTCTCTTGTTTGCTTAGCTTAAATATGTTTTGGGGGTACCGATGGATCATTTTTGGTAGGTTGCAGTAGGGGTGGATACGTGGGTGGTTAATCCGTAGATAGGTGATTGATGTGGGTGGATTGCGGATTGATAAATCTCCCACCCGCACTTACGTGGGTGGGTGGATTGCGGGTCACTTGTATGACCAGCATCCTATTTTTACATGAAAAAATGTTGTTTCTTATAGTATCGAATATTCATCATATTTTCAAACTACACTACAGTTTGAATGTCTGACCATATACTTCAAAAGATGGAGAATAAAGAATAGTTTTGACTACTATTATTGGTTATTGTGTTATGCATTACCCAATAGATATTGGATATTGGTATGCAAATTATTATTAATATCCATTAAATATTGGGATGCAAAGTACAAATTATTGATTGTATCAAAATCACAAATTATTGATACAGTCTTACTAATTTGCTATGAATTTATTATAAATGTTAGTCAACTTTCTTAATGGCTAGTTGTAGAATTGCTTTTACGGGTTGATCCGCGACCCAACCGCCACCCACCCAACCCAACTCGCAGAAGTATGTGGGTGGATTGCGGGTTACAATTTTTTCAACTCGCTAGTAAGAAGGTGACTCAATTTGAGATCAAAATCCACCCAACTCACCCATTACCCACCCATAGGTTGCAGTTTTGGCAACTCTCTTCTAGGGGGTAAGTTCTGATAGTTTTGTTTCCTTTGATATAGGTTTATGTATATATCTCATATAGATGGTCCCTAATTGGCTAGGGGTGTAGCCAATACCTTTTTTGATGGTATCATGGTATAACGTAACTGATTCATAAAAACAATGAAAAGTATTGTTTGAAAATAATTGAAAAGTATTGGGTTTATGAAGAAAAAATATAGAAGAGGTAGTATTAGATATACGAGAAAAATGAAAGAGTTGAAATTGAAAAGTAGAGACAAAAAAATGATTCATTTGCAAATGACCGAGAACAATCATTTACAAATCATTCAATTGAGTCATTTGCAAATAACCTTTTCGTTGACAAATTAGTCATTCGACATAAAATAACTCAAATAAGCCATGTTATTAAGACCGATCCGAGCCAGCCGGTCGGACCGTCAAAGCTGCCACCCGACTGCAAAACCGGCTCAGATCAGTCATTTAGCCGTAACGACTTTCTGGAGCGGCCGACAAGCGACCGAGGCGGTTAACCGTTCGAGCCGAGCGCTCTGTTTTTCCCCTTCCGACCGGTCTGTTTAATTAAATAATAGATAATCAACGGCTAAATTACACGTTTGGTCACTCGAATTATACAAATCTTTCACTTTTGCCACTCAAATTACTTTTCTTTCTTATTCGCCACTAACTTTACGAATCGTTTCACAATTAGTCACCAGCCGTCCAATTCCGTTAAAATCATCCTATATGGCAGTCAACTAAACCCTTTGACCGTTAGTTTGATGACATGGCAATTAAAAATTAAAAAATATTAATTTTCAAATTAAAAACTATTTCATCTTCCTTTCATTTCTTTCTCCCAGCAACACTTATCCTTAATCCAATCGAACTCCTGATGGAACATTAATTCACATTCAGACATGAGGCAGGAAAATAGCTGTGTAGCCACGGCGTGTGCTGCTCGAGATGAAAGACCGGATTACTCCAGCTAAGTTGGGAAGGAGAAGTTTAGAAAAGTGATGTACAAGGAGACTTCGAGGATTTGAGGAAGTTGTGGACGGCCGAAGCTTTGAGGAAGCCATGGATAATACATGAAGGACCCGCAACTTCAATCTGATTTTCCATGCACACAAGTATACAACAACTATTACAAACTCTTGAACTAGTTCTCTAAGTTTCATCGATGGCGCTCTTCCATGTTCCAAGTACCGACTTATTTCTATATGCCCTCGCTATTTTCCCTCTCCTGTGTTACAAACTTCCAATACCATCATACATCATACCGTCCATAGAATCCTTTCTTTCCAATGAAATAATGGAGCAGATGAATGCAAAATGTGATAATCTGAACCAATGTGAAAACTCAAGTGTACAAAATTATACACGATCAATCTTTTGAAGATGGTGGCTTCTCAAGCTCCAGTGCCAAAACCTGACAGCCCAACTGGGTATGTCCTGTGAATGAATCCTGGTCTTGTGCTTGTCAATTTTTCGCCTGGGAGGCTGGTGATGTCAGGATCAGCTGTCTTTACCTTTTCTATCGGCTTACTGGCTCTGAACATGGAGTCCTCCTCAACGAGAAACTGGAGGCCCTGAATATAGATGTTTTGAACCGAGTCATTGGACAATCTCAACAAGGGGGCAAAACCTACTCATTAAGTCATTTGGTGGGGGAACCAAGGTTCGACTCTGACATACCTTGAGAGATATTTCTTCACCGTTGGTCAGCACAAGGTTGGCAACCTTGGCACCAAGTTCCTGCAGAAAAGTTTGATGTGAGTACGAAGGCTGAAACAAGTTTACATACAATCGATTGATGGAAGTAAGATTGGCTGCTAAGTTTGGTAACGGTGTTAGATGGATTATCTGACCTTGGATACTTTTCTACCAAACCCATCTTTCATGCCTTGAGCAACTTGGCATAAGTACAAAATACCTGAGTTTGTTGCATCCTACAGTAACATGGATTGTATCAGGTTCAGAAACTGCTGCAAAAAGCACACTTGAACAAACCGACAAACCAAAATAGCAAAAGAAGGAGGGGGAAGACATGGGAAACCTGTTTGCTTTCCAGAAGCTCGAGTTTTCCTTCCTGTTGAGCACAAGGAGATTTAGATAAGGAATCTGGTGATGGAGATTAAATTTACGTGGGAAAAAACCAAGGAACTCACCAGGCCAGCTATCATTTGATGAATTGTCCCAACATTGAATCCAATTTCTGAAAGGTTAGAATTCATTTCACCTACCTGCACAGAATTTGAAAACCAATCAACTCAGAGAGTTTCACAATATGGGTAAAGGTTCACCAGTTTGTTCATAGATGATAGACGTAACAGTTCATATGCACGTGGATTATGCTTACATTACTAGCAATTTGATTAGATGACTCCATCTGCTCGTCCATTTTCCAATCCAAGTTTTCCAACCTTTTGGTTAGATGCTTCTTCGTATTCTGCAGAAATTGGCCGAATACATAATCAGATTTATATAGAATTGACAAGAATATGATTCATGAAACCAAACCCATCATACTTACGGCAAGGGACTCAGATAGATGTTCCAATTGTTTAGAAACAGATGCAACAGCATTTTGCATATTGTGCTTCGTCACAAACATTACATCTGACAATGACCACCCCTGTTCTTAGAGAAAATAATAAAAAGGGATGCATGATTAAATTGGCTACAAGCATATAATGAAACCTTGCGGGTGTAATTATAAGAAGAACAAGGTCCAAAAGAATGGGTTTTTTTGTTCGGCAGTAAGAAACATGCCTTCCACAACATGTAACAATAGCCCATCGCTCCTAGTGCAGCAGCCGGCATAACATAAGATGCCAAGCTTCCTGTTGAAAAGAAGGGGGGGGGGGGGAAAGAAGCATATTAAGCTTGGTTTGTACTAATTGAAGCCTACTGCAAACACTCCTTAACAAGAAAGAACAGAACATGTACCACTTTCATAATTCCCATTGAAGATGGTTACAGGATTGTTCATGGATATCTCCTTTATCTCTTGAGCCAACTGACGAATCTATTGCAAACATACACGAGAAAGATGAAAGATCATCGATAACAACTATCTTACTGATAAATGACATACCAAGCTCATTTCCTGTTCAATGTCCTAAGATTACCAATTCAGTTTCCCAAGGATGATGGTTATTCTATAAATTGCATCATCCTAACAATTAGCCTGGTCCTGTCATGCAACCGATAACGAAACATTCACTAATTCCTATCCTAACTTCATCACCAACACGGGGAGAAGATAAAAAGCAAGCAATTACATCACAAATGCTCAAGTGAATAAAACCAGTACCTAGCAGGTCAACAGAAACTACGGAAGAAAAGAAGCTCCCTCCAATATTCTTGGAAGCAAAATTGGCCAAAGTACCTGGGCTGCAAGGACAGCAGTATCGTATCTATACGGCGACGTTTCAGCATCTTGAACACCCTTGAGCAATTCCTGCAGCTGGGCAATCACCTCAGATAATCTTCCGTTCTTCAATATGATCGAACTTGTCAAACCTAATAATTGAAACGTACACCAACCATTTGAACATTCAGAAAAGAGACGAACAACCTATTAACCCAACTGAATCAAACAACAGATCAACCCAAACAAAACTAATCGAAAATTGAGGAAGAAACCTGCGCCGGCGCCAACAAGAATGAGTACTTTGGAAGAGACGGCTGCAGTTTGCATAGCCATCTTTGCTTCTGCCCCGCAATTCTTCTTTGCCCTGTGGCTGCTTCCCTTCTCGACTCTTCCAACAAAGCTTTGATCTTTCGCAGCTTTTGAAGTTTTTAATTGATTTAAGGTTTAACCCAACTAAACCGAGAGTCAAAATTGGAGAAAGAAAGTTGAATTTCTCATGGGATATGGCCAGATTTATGTTACCCAATTCGTGGGTTTGGTGCCCACGCTCCCGAATTAGAGCGGCAAACCGCGGATCAGAAAAAGAGCGCCCATAATTCGCGAATTCTTTTTTCCGAGAGCGCGAATTATTTATGGAAGAGCACGACTTTGGTTGAAACAATCAAATTCGTATGCTTTCATGGGTGGACTACATCTAGAGAGAGAAGAATAATTGCAGAAAAATGCTGATCTTGGAGCTTATTAGTTGAGCGATACAGAGAGTAGAGGCAGAGTATACAAAGAAAATGTTGGGCTTTTCATGAAGAGCGAGAGCAGCAGCAAAAAAAGACGAATCAGTTCACAAAAGTAAAATAGGGCTTTCCTTCTGTAGATGGAAGAAGAGGAAATGGAACTCTTAGGACATCAAGATCTGTTTATTTGGGCTACTATCAATCATCTCTGTTTTTAGAGAGAGAGAGAGAGGCGACGGAGAGCTTCTTGTGGTTCTGCATGCGTTTCTGAATAGCAGATCTTGCAATTGATTGGAGATCTCCGATCGGCAAAAAGAAAGAAGGTGAGCGAAGAGGGCTTATCGCCATTATCTTCATATAGACTTCCTAAATAATTTCTTACCTTCCCCATCAGTGATTGCTTGATTGGATCAAAGAGATGCTCTTGTCACTTTTGTTCCAGAAGAGGAAGGAAGGCAATAAAAGGGGAGAGAGAGAGCGGAAGTGGTCCAGAAAATTGTGGGTTGAGGAAAATGTGAAGAGACGTTTATTTAGTTTGTGGGACTGATTTTATATTATAATAATAATTCTATAATTATTCCGATTTTTTATTGGTGAGTATAAATTAGATATGTTTATTGAATTGGTAGTTGTTCGGTTGTTCTTCACAAACTGCAATTAAATTGGTAATGGTGTATAATAGAGCAAGTAATATTTTCATGCAATTATTCACATCCCGTAAAAGTTTATTTTGTAAGAGTAAGTTGTGATAATATTGCTCATATTGTATTTAATACAATGAAAATAATAAAATATTGACGCTCTGTTCACGCTTTCAATATTGAATTCTTTAAAAGTTAACGCTCTGACGCTCTCGCTCCCGCTCCACGCTCTGGTTACCTAAGGCCAGATGCCCAGATTGGACACGAATTTTCCATGGACAGCCAACAAGTGGAGGAACAAAGAGACGCCATAAGGGCATTTAGGACATTGCGAGAAATGTTCAAGGTTTCAAACCGAGGGTGGAAATCTGTACGACATCTGGATCTCAATGCCAAATACTGAAATGCCGAATAGTCAATTACACGCTAAAATTAATGTTAATTCCAATTCTTAAATAATTTCAGTATCTCAATCCCTAAATATTTCGGTGGCTAAATTGCAAGTTTGGTCACTTAAATTACTAGTAAAGTTCACCTTAGCCACTGGAATTACTTTATTCCATTCTGGGTCACTTAAATTAGGTTAACAGTCCAAATTTGGTCACTAACCGTTAGTCTCCGTTAACTTTTGTTGATGAGGCGGCCAACTCTCGTAGTTGACCGTTAAATGAGTGATGTGACAGTTAAAAAATTAAATTAAAATTAAATTTGATTATTTTTATTTTCCACCTCATTATCAAAATTATTAAAAAATAAAAAATAGAACCTAATTATCTTCATCCCTACCCAGAAATTTCATCCATCGTCACCTTCACGTACATTGACGATGTGGGCCCTGCCGCTTCTCATTCACTAGAACAATGAGAAACCGATTGACGGCCATCGTCATCTGGTCCCTGTGGTTCCTCTGCTTCTTCTTCCACCGGAAATTAATCGGCGGCCACCCCACGATCCCGTCTCCGTCACAATCTCCCTCTTCTTCTCCCTCCTCTTCCGCTTCAATTCTGCTTCAGAAACCCCCCAAATCTTCAAAACGCATACTTTAGGAAAACAGGGAAAATTGAAAGAAAAAAAAACACACAGGAGAAATTGAAAAAAACAGGGGAATTGAGGGTCATGTTGAAAGGGAGAGAATATGTGAAAATGTACATTACCTTCCACGGAACATGGCAACGTGGATAATTGTGGCGGTGAGGGCGGCGAACCCAACTCCATAAGTCATGGCGAAAAGCATGCTGAGATAAAGGTTGCCTTGGCGCTCGTAGGCGGCGAGGTCGAGGCGGAACGAGGAGTCGATGATGGAGGAGATGTTGTACTCCTGTCCCGTGGCGGTGAAGAGGTTGTCGGAGAAAATGGGGAAAGTCTTGGCTCGGTAGAAGTTGAACCAGTAGGCGATCGGGGTAACGACGTACATGATGAACACGAACCTGGCGGCAACGTTGGCGGTGGCGAACCATGGGCTGGCGAGGTAGGACGAGATGGCGGACTAGTCGAATCCGACAGCTCCCAGTCTGTGAATCCGTGAATTGTCCCTGTTTCTTCTTCTTCTGGGTTCCAAGTGAGATCGGTGTAGAAAGAAAGGAGGAGGAAGAAGCGGTTTGTGAATTTAAGGAGGAAGAATATAAAGGGACGAGTGGGAATTGGCAAAAACAAAGGGAAGAAAACAAAGGGGACAAGGTGGAAGCAACAGTAAATAGGGATGAAGATAATTAGTTTTTTTTTTATAACTTTTTAATGATGAGGTGGAAAATAAAAATAGTTAAATTTTATTCTTTTAATTGCCACATCACTCATTTTATGGTCAACTATTAGAGTTGACCGCCACATCAACAAAAGTTAACGGAGACTAACGGCCAGTGACCAAACTTGGATTGTTAACCTAATTTAAGTGACTATACGGATTGAATAAAGTAATTCTAGTGGCTAACTTGAACTTTACTAGTAATTCAAGTGACAAAATTTGCAATTTAGCCATATTTTGGTATACCAATCGGTACTTTGGTTCCTAAAGTGGTATTATCTAATACGAAATTAATTACCTTTATAATTAAATATTAAATATATATTAGATTTGATTGTTTAATTTAGTGCAAAGAGACTAAGCAAAAAAAAATCTTGAGTGTGCCTAGAGATAGGATATGGATAAGGAGAATGTAGTAGATGTGACATCTCAAATTGTAGGCAAAGATATGATTAATACTAGTGTTTGTTTTTTGCTGTTGTGAAAATAACAAGAGATTAGATGAGAGAGGAGAGTGTACGTGGGCACCGGATCGGGCCGCCCACGGGCTAGCACGACACGACACGGCTAGAGCACGACACAACCACTGATCAATGCAATTGATGTGGAAGGCGTGCTTGCACTACGGCAGCAGCAGGCGGATCTCGACGTCCTCGAATTTGGAGATGCAGATGGCGCACTCGAGGCCATCCCTGACGCCGTGGAGGGAGGAGAATCGGAAGAAGGGGAGCGATTCAATTGCTGTCTCCTGGGTCGTGCTCCGTTGCGCTATCGCGCCGCCGAAGAGGAGGAAGGGGCGATGGTGTGGGTGGGGTTGGCGGCTATGGTCGGAGAGGAATGGTTTGGGAATGGGTGGCTTTCTTAATCTCTCTCTACATTTTCCTTCTTCAGAAGAGGGGTGAAAAGAGAAGGCTCTGCCTGCCTTTCGTTTTCCAACCTCAGTTTCATCATCGGAACTTGGACGGCCTACTGCGGAAGCAGATCAGGTGAGTAACCTTGTGGTGCTATAACTCATGCATAACTTAATAAGAATCCGCCACATCAGCGCCTCTTTCTCTCTCCTAAAAAAAACCTTTAATTTTCCTTCTTTTAATTTTTAATGGACGATTTCTCACTCGTTTTAACTCGATTTTATTGCACTGTTAGATCAGATTAATTGTGCTCTTCAAAATGATATCCACTTTGATATTTTTTGGAACAAAAGAAATTGTCAGTTATTACCAGTCTATACCATATGGTATTGACTAGTATTAAATAACAGCATACCATATGATATGAAAAATACCACCTCATACCAGGGTGGTATAGTATGGTATGGAGTTGGTAACGAGAGGTATGCAATTTTTTCACCCAGAAAAATTTGAAATCCAATAAATAATGATTAAATCGTTCCTTCTGTGCAAAAATTTTCGAAAACGACTGAAAAACGAAGGAGATACCATTTGGTATGGAGTTGGTAACGATAGGTATGAAATTTTTTTTTCTCAAAAAATTATTGAAAATGGATATCATTTTGTAGAGCACAACAAACTCGTTCCATCTGTGCAAAAAAATGAAATCCGAGTTAGAATGAAGAAGACATGATCCAATCAAGAAAACTAGGGAAAATAAATTTCTTTAATTCTACACCCTTAGATCTGCAACCACTTAAAAGAAGGGTCCAGATTTGGTTACTCATAATTATGCACCCTATCTTGAGCCACCTACTGCAGTCAGTCTAGGGTTTTTTTTCAACCGCGTCGATCTGGTTGCTTCATACCCTTGCATTCACAATTCCAACTTCGATTCTGATATAAGCAAGGTTGTCAAACAAGTTTATACCGTTGTGTCGGTTTAGTAAGTGGAATGGTTCTACCAGTGGTACAACCGGTTTGTGCCGGTTAATAAAATATGTAGAAATGTCAAAACCCATTAATGTCAAATGAATTTAATCATATATAAACCATATTTGAAGATAATTTACGTACAATTCATATTGATATATATATAAAATGTGATATTTTAAATAAAATTACATCTAATTATATTTAAATTCACTAAAACGACATCATTTTACTTAAAAATTCGCAGATCGATCATGCCGGTCATACCAGTGGTGTCATGCCGGTTTCATGGTCGGAACCGGTTGAACCAGGTTGAACCGGTGGATGCCGACCGGCATGACAACCATGTATATAAGGGATTGAAATTTTTTGGTTTATTTTATTATTTATTTTTTGGTTGTTTATAATATTATAAGATAGATAAATAAATGAAATATGGAAATAATTTGGAATTTGAATTTTTTATTTATTTTTCGCTGACGTGGCAGTTAGTTAGAGCGTTGACCGTCCAAATTACGCGTCCGACCAAGCTGGACTATATGGTGTATAGTTGAGATAATAGCTTTTTCTTAAACCATGGGTCAAAATTGATCAATAGGGTATCGTTCGAACTAGAATAAGGTATTAAACCAAAAATAATAGAAATATAAGTTTGAGAAAACCACTTAGTAGCGAGGCAGATTTTGATATTAGGATACGTTTAAGTAGATGCAGTAGGTATAGACCACAAGCCTCAGTCGATAAATTAATTTTATAATAAGAGAAAAAGGAACAGGTCTAGGTTCCAATTAAAAAAACCTTGCAATTTGTGGGAACTACGAGATAGAGGGAGACGGAAAAGAATGCCAAAAATAACAATTCCTCCCCCCCTCAATGAATTACTACTATGTATAGAACAAGAAAAGTGACGAGTACAGCTCAAAGAACTCCCAAAAGAATACTTCATAATACAAAACTCCTTATACAGCACCAAATCCAGCTTCTACTAAACATTGTTCACAGAGTCCTAGCTTTTCTATTTTATGTATCCATTGAAACATCTCCGCCGCTAGGGCTTTTCGGGTTACCCTGAGGAAGGCCAGCCCCAAACTGGAACTCCTGCAGAGGTACATCCAGAGGGCGCGAGAAAATTGAGGTGGCACCGGGGGGACTGAAAGCCGGAAAGGTAGCAGCTGGAGGTGGTGCTAGATCGTTGTAGACTTTTGGGAATCCAAAGCTAAATGATGGTGAGCCAGCTGGTGGGAAGGCTGGAATTCCAGGATTGGTGTTATCTGCAGACAAGAGTAGCCTCTGCTCGTACTCCTGCAGTTGCTGGTTTACCCCTGAGATTTAGCAGAAGGGTGCGGAATTCAAACAATTAGACATCAAAATTCCATTGCTTTCAGGAGGAAAATAGACAAATGGAAGGTGTAAATCAGATACCTTCAGTCAATTCAACAGCAGGTCTTCGTTCTTTCACCCACTGGTAACTTTGTGCAAGCCTCCATCCCTTGGACTTCATTAAGTAAGCTATTACAATTGCTGGAGACCTGTTGAAACCATTGTAATTTAGACCAGGGTAGATTTCTAACAAGAACGCGCTTATCTCAATACACAATCTGCTTCCTAACCTCCTAGAACTTTATCCCATTAACATGCTCATCAATAAGACCAGAAATGAAAAGACGAAAGAAAATGGAAAGAACAATTTTTACAGCAACGAACTTACCTACTCTTTCCTGACATGCAGTGTACAAGAATACGAGCCTTTTCGTTCTCGCATTGTTCTAACAAAAAAAAGCAAATATTGTTTACACTCTGAACCAAATCCACAGCATTGATGAGTTCATGGATATATCTATACATTACGTCCTCAGAAATCAAGGAAGCACAGCAATGTGTATTACCAGTCTCGACAAACCATGGCATTAGGATTAGCTTGACTTCAGATAGATGCAGTTTATGGTTGAACAGATGTATCAGAAGAGACTAAGAGCTCACCTAAAATTTGTATGGCTTCATCAAACTGCAAAGTTTTGTCATCTTGGAGGCAATGATAGGTGAAGGAGTTCTTGTAAAGATTTTGACAAGCAGGTACTGTCTAGATAGGACAAATACAATAAGGAAAGTGAGATTACAACATTTATCATGATGGAGTATTACAAATTATTACTTCAGAATAAGAAACAAGGCAGTACACATTAAAAGTTCAGCATATTATTGACTGGCATCATATGCATGCCTGGACATCTAAAAGAGAACCTAACATACTCAATCCTCCTTCACCGCAATAATGTGATAGCAGAAAGGGGAGGATTGATGTATATATCCAGATCATTATTCATTACAATACCATATTCAGTTCTTCAAACCGAAAGCACATCACCCACTCTCATTCATTTTGATGTACTATCTTGAGGCCAGATATGTAGGATGCATACCGAGTAACTATAGAAACAAGAATGAATCAAATTTCTAAGGCTCTATCAATAACCAAAAACAGTCAACAGTACATCAGCCAAAGGACTTGACTGTTAATAAATTCATTCATCGGCTTCCTTGCATAATTCCAGTCAATTCATCAAGCACCTCATGTGCAGACCACACCCAATCCATCTCGATCCACAATCAGCACTACAGCCAATCAAACCCATTAACTGAATCAAATCCAAAAACCCTAATTAAAATCAATCTAAAGCAACTGAATCTTCCCAGAAAGCAGGGGACTTCCCAGTTCAGAAGAGACTTACATTGAGAATCCGAGAAATCCCCTGGGTTTTCAAAAGCTCGGACCTTGAGGCGTGGTCGTAGCTACCCAGATAGAGAAAGTCCGGAAGGATCTCAGAAGGGAAAGCGCTGATGTGGACGGAAGGTTTGTCGGTGGAGGAATCCGGAATCCGGTGGCCGCAAATCCCGCAAACCTCGCCTTCTTCGTACTTATGGTAGTGCCCGCAAACCCCACACGGGTTTTCTCTTTCCCTCTTTCTGATCATCGTTGCCGCCGTCAACCGCTAGAAAGATTCACCAAGTCGCAGCGACCGTTTCGAAGTTTGGGATATGACAGAAGTTCAAAGACTCGGACTTTCGCAAACTGTTTGATCGCTACGGCTGTCAAACCTTCACAGTGTCGGTTTTCTCTTCCGAGCTCGGGAACAATTTGAAACGACACACAGAATTTTCCACCTGTTCCCTTTCCCCTTCTTAACTATTCCCTTTTCCCTTTTTACCTTTTGCTTCGTATTTATATATTTAGGGTAAATACTATTTAGGGTTAATGACGTGTTCAATAGAATTCTAAATCGTGTCATGTTTAGTTACTAAAAAAAATTAATATCAACTTTGGTCACTCGAATTACTGACACAGGTGTCCAACTCTGTTAACAGAGTCCGTTATGTGCTGACATTGCTAACGGGAGCGCCTAGTCAGCGCCGTTTGGGCCGGAAATGATCAAACCCAACCCGCCATGTCATATGCCCAACCCATTAACCCAATCAGACCCAAAACCAAACCCGAGCCCACTTAACAAAACAAAATTTGAAAATAAATTGGGTTAGTGGCCATTTTTAGACCCGAAACCCTTTCTCCTTCCTCGCGAAGCTTTGCGCCTTCCTCTAGGCTCTACCATTTCCGATCGAACTCATCAGAGAGCAGGGAGAGGTGGAGCCAGCCACGCTACCCCCTTGTCCCAGATCGTCCTTCAATTTTGCGTTGTTGTTTTTCTTCGTCTCGCGCCGGCGTCAACATCCCCCATCACAGCAGACAACGAAACCCTCAGATCCTCCTTCGAATGCGCTCGATGCTTCTTCTTCTTCTTCATCGTGCACCGGTGTCAGCTTCCCGCATCACAGCAATGGACGAAACCCTAAATCGATTCCCCCATCGCGCCGACGTCAATTTTCCCCATCGCGCGCCGGAGTCAGTTGCTACTCTCTTCTCTCCGACTGTAAATGTAAGTGGTTTTTTCCCTTTTCTGGTTATAAGCTAGTTTGGAGAGTCTAGAAAAGAGGAAGGGGCAGTAAAAGTGAAGAGGTTGCATATTTGGTTTTGGGTCTCTCTTTTGGGTTTATTTTAAACTAAAAACTGCATTTTTCTGTTTGTTTCCCAGTCCCAGCTCAGCATTCCACGCGAGAACCATGGTGGGGCATGTGCGGGCACCAACTGCGATTTAACCCCATTATGTAAGTTTACCTCTACTTTCGCTCTTGTCTTTATGGTAGACAGTAGTGGTTGTATCCTAAAGTTTGACAAGGACAACCACGTTGTCATTTTGGAATAGAAAATGCAGATTTTTGTGGGGATGACTAAGACCATTAGTAGTTGTTTGCCCTTCTTCCCTTTGCTTTTACGAGTTTTCGCTCTTGTCATTATGTAGAGAGAAATCTTGGGTGTGCCATTGATTCGGGCTCATATGTACACTTTTTGCCCCCGGTTTGCTTAGTCGTTTGTAGCATTTTTATTCCGGGAGGTTTGGTTTTACGCTGGGTTTTGCCTTGTTTTGGTGTTTTTCAGACTTTGGAAGGTAGAACCAACCCCGGAGTCGAAAGTTGGACGAAAGGGCGAAAAATCAAGTCAAACGGTGGAAATAGCAGCAGAACACGGTTTGGGCTGTGTGTTCACGGTCACTAAGACCGTGAACTAGAGGTGCCACCCGTGAACAGCTAGAAATCCAGAGCACAAACAACTTTCACTGGACACAAGTCAGTTCACAGTCGTAAGACCGTGAACACATGCCATTGCCCGTGAATTGGGATTTGTGATGCGGTGCGTTTTGACTTTAGTTCGCGGTCTGGGCTTTCAGTTCACGGCCGTGAACTAAGACCGTGCCTGTACTATTAAACCGAAACTGGGCTTATCCGCTAAGAATTATGGTAGAGCTGTTTATGAATGTCTCCATGGTGGACTTGATTTTACCAAAGATGATGAAAACGTGAACTCCCATCCATTTATGTGTTGGAGAGACCGTTTATGAGAATGTATATAAGCTTATTTCGGTCCGATCCGGTATGGAATGAACTTATAATCATGGAATTGACTCGATTATCAGATTATAGATTATAAGTTCATAACCCTAGCCCATTCCCATTTTGGGCGTTCTTGGATCTACCACGGGGGATTAGTCTTGAAGGTAACCAAATGTATTTTCTTTCTATTACTATTACTATGAAATTCATAAGTGAAATAGTTAATAAATGAACTAAAAAGTGTATCATGTCTGAATCTAACTGGGGTTCGCGGTGGTGGAGGAAATGGATCGAAAAAAGAGGGATTCTATGTAACACCCTACCCTGTACGTTTTTCCTGATCATATTGTTCACACAATTGCAGCGGAATTTAAAACTGGTGTTACATTAATTACCAAAAATCAAATAAAATTTTGACATGAATTACTCGCGTAATGGGCTAATAGTTCTTGCAACTAGACCTGCAAAATAATTCATCCGAATCCCTGCATTCGTAGACATACATATATACTCACAACCATGTACATGGGCTTTCATAGCTATAGTCACACTTTCATACTCCACAACTGCATACCATACTTATACATACCATAATCATCACTACATACACCACCACACACATATACACATATAATCAACTTTCCACACCTGTGGATATCTCACACTACATCAAAAGCTAGTATGCACATGAAAATGTTCTCAAAACATTTTTTTACACAAAGGTGTGGATCACTGGCCAAAACCCCAAGTAGTCGTCCAAGCACAGAATAGTTGAAGATCATACCTCATCTTGACTTCAACTCTTGCTCAGCTCCCACCTAACACTTATCTACTGCTGCTGATGATCTGCTTACACATAGCATAAGCAGAGAAGAAGAATAAAAGAGGGTCAGCTCATAGCTGAGTGAGATAATCATAGCATCGTGAGTTCATAACAGAGCATACCCCTACCATACATCTAGCAAACAAGCCAAAGCACTAGGATCAGACCTTAGGCATCCGACATCCCAATAGGCAAAAGACTCAACCACCTTGACTTATGCATATGCATCTTATCATGTTTTACTTATAGGCGCCTGGCTACTCCCATGCTAATAACTCTACCGGGAAACATACCCCACATCCCTCCGGATGTAGTCATACATACCCCAACATCCCGTCGGATGTGGTCATACATACCCCAAACCACTATGGGTGTAGTCATACCCCGACACCACTCTGGGTGTGGTCATATCTCATAAGAAATCTTCAGTCACCACCACATGAGAGGTGTGACTATCATACATATCATAATAGAGTAATAGCATAGGGAGCCCTAATTACTATGTAGTTGACCGTGAGACCACAACACTCATATTTGGTATCCTTATACATGATTCATATCTCATCTTACTTAATCGTAATTCGTTACTTGCACATGTATTTGACTTGGCCATAATCGTCTCAACATAACCAGGAGTCGTATAATTGCACTTCCTCGGGATAAACCCTCGTGCAAGTCATCCTCCTTAAACATCATAATATCACCATGAGATATATATTTTCCCACTTGTGCATCCAAATACAATAATCATGAAAAATCATGCCCAATCACCTTCTCAAACTATCATAAGGCATATCCACAATTAATCCCACATCTGGCAACATGTATGCAATCATCAACATCGACAAGGTCCATATCGATTAGGGCAAGTCAATAATATCATACAACAGTCCAGGGTTCATCATACAGCACAAAAGTTCATACACCCCTAATCATACCATTCTAGTTCACCTAGGTCAATTCTAAGCATCAATATAATTATCGTGATATGACAAACCCGGTATGCCGTGCTAATCCCTCACCAGTTCTGGTCGTTTAACACCGGTTTTAGCCTCCCGAACTAAACTTCACTTTTCTCAAACAAACTCGGAATCAAAATCCGAGATTGTCCTAATATCCCATGCAGTATCCCCGTCAATGTTAGTTCTAGTCTCCGGATCAAATTCTCGATAAAAACACATCAAACCCTGGTTGGAGCTAAATTCAGCGATTTGGACCCCGACCTAAATAATTGCCGAAATTCATGGATTAGAACTAGAGGATTGATTACCTCGCTGCAGTAAGCTCGTATATGAAATTTGGGCTCAATCCGGCTTCCGGATACTCTAAAACCCTAATTTGGCTTATCGGAAATTCAAGAAATTCCTGAACCAACAACTCGTTTTAAAGCTCTAAATCGATAAATCACGATGTATAGATGAATTAAGCATTACTTACGAGATTTTTGGATCACTAGGGCTCAAGAATTGAGCTTTGGAAATTGCTCCCTCGCGTCCCCTGAACTCTTCCCCTTGTTCTGTGCTCTCGGTCCGAAAAGAGAATAGGAAGAAGATTGAATTGAAATGGACAGGGGAATGTTTATATATATGCCGGTAATTATATATATACATATATATATATATATATATAATTAATATGTATACTTATTCGATCGATCGATAATCCGATTTTCGTCTAAATATTGCCAAAATGCTCGATTTTAAATCGTGAAATTTTCTAGCGACAGTAATACGATTTTAGCCGAAACGGGATATTACATTCTAGTTGTAAGATATCTAATGAAACCAGTTTCCGGTGGAAACCCCCTATAACATGAAGCTGGTGCTTCAAGGGGAGAGAGGAATTAAGTTCCTCGAGGGCCTTCGACCCTCAGCAGTTTTGCGACCCCGGGTCGACCCTGCACCAGTGCAGCCTGATCCAGAGATTCCTTTCCAGGAGCAGCCACCCACTAAAGCTCCCGGCCGCCGCCGCACCGTAGCACCACCATCATCAGCTGCTGCATCATCATCATCAGGGGCCGAACCCTCTACCTCCGGACCCCACCTCGAGGAGTGAGTGGATCGCCTTGAGGTACACTATGTGGGAGTCACCGCATGACTCGACCAGACCGTCGATCGCAAAGAGAGGAGTATGAAAGTGGAGTCAGCTTGCCACGACGAGGTATCCGTCGAGGGAGACATGTGGCATAGCCAATTTGTTTCGCCCCATTTCTCCACGTTCAAACTCTAAACTCTTTCTCTTTTTATTTTCTCCTTATTTTGTGTCTGAACTAGTACCTTGTGAGTTCTTTATTCTAAATCGTATTGTGAAACTTTGTTATGTGTAATAACCTCGCCTCGAGCAAGAATGTGTGTGTGTGTGTTTGTGTTTTGTTTTTCCTTTGAAGCTCAAACATTCTACCCCGG